GCAGAAAGGAATGAGAGGGTTATATCTTGATGAGTCCATCCTAAACTGAAAATATCATCAAAAGTACATTTAATATACTTAACAAAAACCTAGCCAATCTTAGAGATGATCCTGACACTTATGCTGATGGCACAGTATTTGGCAAAGTACTCGTGGTTTTGCCTATGATTCGCTGGTTCGCTGGCAGCTGCAGCCTGCTGCCACTGCCCAATATTATGGAGTGGTCTTAGCATATTGCTACTGGAACAGGAAGCGATCAATATCCAAAACTCAAAGTACAGTTCCTACTGAACACTTACTGTTTTTGCATCATCATAAAGTTCAAAAAAACAATCTAAGTCAGGGACTTTTGTTACATGCCAGCCCTGTCCTTAGGAACTAGGAAATGGTTGTGCACTAAGGTAACAAGAGGAGCTCAGGACCTTGTAGGGAAAGCAGAGAACAAATCCATATGAACAAAATGCAGCATATCAGATACTATTGAACACTGTGGGAAATATAAGACATGAGAGGTTAAAGGGAAGAGAGTTCAAGGTTAAATAGTGTGAGACCTGGTGACTGGGTATGCAGGAACTAAGGGAACAGAGCTGAGCGTATCTAGGAAGAGCCTGGTGAGGAGGCAGGAGTAGCCAGGGCCAGTGCTGGCATCTGCCCGCTCTGTGGGTGAACCACAGGGAGACTGGACTGGTGAGACAAAAGGAACGATGGTCTTCGTGGGCCCAAGGTCAGTGGACAAAAGTCTTGCTTCATTCTTGAAACATTTTGATTTTAATCTGTACATGACCTCTCTCCAGTTCTATTTCACAAATAGACTGAGGTAAGGACAAGGGTGAAACGTGAAGACAAGACCACTTAGCAGTTATTTCCATCATCTGGGGGCTCCAGCTATGGTGTGGCCAGGTGGGAGTGGACAGGAGTGAGAAGTTATCTGAGTCAGATATATTTTGAAGGAAGAGTCAGTGGCTTTATGATGATCAGGATCCACTTGAGGAGGAAAAAAGGCAAGGATGACCCATGTGTTGTGTCCTGGGCAATAAAGACAGAGCTGCCATCAGTTGTGATGGGAGCAATCTGAGGACAGCTGTTCTCCAGGAGAAATCAAGGGCTCTGTTGGCCACTTCATTGAGGAAAAGCTCATTCAAGAAGCAAGTGGAAATGTTGAGTGCACGGTGAGTGCATGGACCAGCTTTGAAGGGAATCATACAGGATAGAGAAAGAAATGTCATGAATCACCATGTAGGACTACAGTAGGGGAGGGGAAGGGCAACAGTGGGCTTGGAATTCATGTCCTTGAAGGTGCCTTGAAGGTGAGAAGGACTGACAGCCCTCAGCACAGGGGAGGATTTTCTGCTGTGAGGTCTGGAGGGACCTGAATTGTTCTGATCATTGGTTGAATCCTGATATGAACAAAATGGTACCAGAAGGCTCTAAGAAAAGCAATTTGCTCCTATAGATCCATCCCCAACAATATTACACCTGACTGTGAATTATATCAAGGGTACCTGGGCATGACTTCCTTAACACAAGTGGGGATGAGCTCTTCTTTTAGGGACAGCCACATGGCCACATCCCTGCTCAAACATCCTACTTTAGGACGTTACCCTGTGTCTCGGTACACAAGGTATGTCCTGTGGAGTCACTTAATTTCTTCTTTGAATGAGGTAAGGACAAGTGAACACATCCCACACAATATCTCCTAGAAGACTCCTTCTATTTGTGAAGCACATCCTTGTCTTTTGTAAATACCTGAAGATATTTCTTATGTTATTATTCACTCTCCTGCATCAGCAGTGAACTGTAGGGGAGTTGGGTCAAGAACAAGTTCTCCCATATGTCACATAATCATGTTACTTTATTCAGTCAACATGTGTGCAACTACAAAGAAGATCTGGGTGACACATGGAAAAGTTTTGAAGTGCTGAGGGGGGAAGGCATACACAGGACTGGGGAGGGGCACCCCATTGTGAGGGAAGGATAATGGCTCTAAGATAGGGGTGTGCCTGGCTCGGTCCAGGAAGAAATAGAAGGCCCTACAACTGAGTGACATACACTGAGGGGAAGGAGAAGGATATTAGATCAGAACATTGGTTGTGGGACATCTGCATCGTGTAGAGTTCGACAACCTTGCAAGGAACTTGCCCTGAGTATACTGGGAGCCAATATCGAGTGAGTGATGAATGGACAAGCTCACAATCTTTGATTTTTGTTTTCAGGGCAACTTTCAAATAATCATCTTTCTCACAAGGCAAATGTATGTGCTAAAATTAATGAGAATTTTTCTATATACCAGCAACCAGAGCTTGAGATGGAACATGAGAGGCAGTGACCTCACCATGGCCCCACCAGTCCACTTTTCCTGTATCCCCAACATGTGTGCTCCCCTCCCAGTGGGTGTGGGTTGGATCAGTGACTCACTTCTAAAGAGTAAAACTCAGCACAACTTAATGTGATAATTTAACAGATGGTCCAGATGATAAGGGGAGGTTCCAAGTTCACTGCCCCACCCAAAGGAGGGTGGAGCTGAGCTGGGAGGAGAATCTGGAGAAAAGGAAATAGGATGGAGCCAGAAGGAGACCGGAGGGAGGCACATGGGGCAGAGAAATTGCTCTTGCTTCTTGGTCCTGGAGTGGGTGACACAGATGTGGGTGAGAGACCCATGAGGAGGTGACTCTTGACAGCTTTTACCTTGATTTTGATGTTGCTCTTTTCCTCTCAGACTTGCCTGGCCATGTCTGACCCTTTTCCATGGGTCCCCGCCAGGTGTTTTAGACATGTGGTGGGCTTTCAGGCCTTGCTTTAGGCCAATCCCTTTTGGGTAGACTTTCACCCATGAGGGGATAGGTAACTTTGGGGGTTTGGTTTTAAAACTATATTCTTTGTCTTTTCTGTACTGCACACTCATTGTATTAAATTTCCTTTCCATTAAAGGTTGTATGTCTTGTCTTGATGCAGCAGGTGGCAGAATCATTTAGAGTGGCAGATTTGGGGGTCGGGGGGGTCCCTCTCCCTGCCCTGTAACAATATCACTTTTGATAATACATTATATTTCTTGACTTCTGTCTTGGTGCTTTTGCTCACATTCCCTCTTGGGTGACTGGCCCTGGAAGAAGTCCAGTGCCATGCTGCAAGGCAGCCCTGTGACAAGCCAACAGGACCCGCCAAAGCCACATGAGCAACCTTAGAGTGGAGCCTCCTCCAGTCCAGCATGAGAGACGGAGTTGCAGCACTTCTCGGTCACCTCCTGGGAAACCAAGCCCAGAAGCACCAGCTAAGTCTTTTCATTACTGACCCACAGAAACTGTAAGAATAAATGCTTCTATTTTACTTCAAACTGCTAAATTTTGCAGGTATTTCTTGCACAGCAATTCATAGCTACTAAGTCTTTAAGAGGGAACTCTGTGTGCTGTACCACTAGAGGAACCAGAACAATGCCTATGGAGGCATAAAGAGACAAATGAAGTTAGAAAACAATGAGAGGGAGCAGGTGTGGCCCAAACAAATAGAAGTGCCTTTGAGGGGAAGACAACGTGCAGCTGGGTGAGAGATTAAGGCCAATGATAAAAGCATTGTGGTCAGAAATAGTGGTATTTCCCACTCAAATGTTTATATTACTTCTTTTATTTACCTGGGGTGCAGATATTGTGTCTATCATCATAGAGATTTTATTTTTTAACATGTGTGACTTTTATTTATTTAATTTTTTAACATGTGTGACTTTATTTAATTTTTTAACATGTGTGACTTTTATTCCTTTTTGAAAGATTTTATGTTTATATATTTATGCACACAAGAACTGGGGCATAGGCCAGAGGTGCAGGGTGTGAGAGGATTCACCAGAGACAAAATAGGGAGCAGAACAGGATTAGAAATACACTGAGGGGAGCAGCGGGGGGGCCAGGAGAGGTCTGCCATTCCATGTGGGTCACCTCCCTGGCTGGGGATTGAACTCTTTGCTGCAGTGGCTGCAGATAGTTTCATAGTGTTGAGACTTTAACCCTTGTATCACCAGGGAGGCCCCACATGCCTTCTATTTCTTGACCTGAATTTTGTCCATGTACTACCAAACTGTATCTTTTTCCCTTCTGTATAAAGGATTTAAAAGTCTTCTTGAGCAAAGATCAAAGGAAATCCCTTTTCATTGACCTTTCCAAATAAAATATGTGTAACTTATACTTGATAGTGAATAAATGGTTCAGAAGGCCCGCCACAAGATATCTGTTGGAACAATTTTATAAAGAAGGCTGTGTTGCTTTTTACTAAAGATAAATTACTAAGCAAATTATTTGTACTTGTTTATCAGTCACCATCGACTGAGGACCCTGGGGTTATTTAAAAAACCTCAGCACAACTCAAGACCTCGCTGTTAAAAGATTGGAGCACCAAATCATCACTTTTGCCATTGCCTCTGTGAGTTTCCTGCCACTCCCAATGGGGTGACCACCATAAAATGCTCTTGCAATCTTCCTCCTTATGTGGGCATGAGGGCATTTCCTTTATCTACATTACAAATATAACTGAGTAGTTTGTGTGATAACACTCAGAACATAGACTAAAAACTAACTTATGCTTCAGTCACTTCCCTTTCTCTAACACATGTACTAGTTCTCAGACTGAAAAGGTCAGCCCCTGATACAGATAGGTTGCCAAGTCCACACAAGCCCCAGTATAGAGTTTTATCAAGTCATGAAAAACAAAATATCACATAATAAAGCCAATAGTTTGTGATGTCTAAAATAACTCAGAGTCCACTCTTATGGTTAAGAATGCATAACAATGCAGATAACTGTGTCACTCAACAGGAACTAGGAGCACTCCTACTGCTGCTAGATGGGTCTGTGAAGAAGTGTCCCTTCCCGTGTCCCAAAGTTTAAGTTGATAAGATATCATACATTACAAATGAAACAACTGGACTTGTGGATTGCAGAGGATAATAAAGAAATGTTGGACAATCCATTGTTTTTTGCCCATGTTCTCAGGTGACCAGGAACATCAGCTGCGTCATGGAGATATGGTTGAATCAGTCATACACAGATGACTTTATCCTCTTGGGCATCTTTTCCCATAGCCAGACTGATTTTGTTCTCTTCTCAGTGGTCATGATAATCTTCACAGTGGCCCTCTGTGGGAACGTCCTCCTCATCTTCCTCATCTACACAGATGCTCACCTTCATACACCCATGTACTTCTTCCTCAGTCAACTCTCCCTCTTGGACCTCATGTTGATCTGTACCAATGTGCCCAAGATGGCAGTCAACTTTCTGTCTGGCAGGAAGGCCATCTCCTTTGTGGGTTGTGGCATACAAGTGGGCCTCTTTGTCTCTCTTGTGGGATGTGAGGGGCTCTTGCTGGGCCTCATGGCTTATGATCGCTATGTGGCCATTAGTCATCCACTTCACTACCCCATCCTCATGAGTCAGAAGGTCTGTCTCCAGATTACTGGGAGTTCCTGGGCCTTTGGGCTACTAGATGGTGTGATCCAGATGGTGGTAGTAATGACCTTCCCCTACTGTGGCTTGAGGGAAGTGAACCACTTCTTTTGTGAGTTGCTGTCACTGTTGAAGCTGGCCTGTATAGACACATCCATTTTTGAGAATGTGATATTTGCTTGCTGTGTCTTTATGCTTTTCTTCCCCTTCTCCATCATTGTGGCCTCCTATGCTCGCATCCTGAGGGCTGTGCTCCGTATGCGCTCTGCTCAAGCTAGTAAAAAGGCCCTAGCCACCTGTTCCTCCCATTTGATGGCTGTGTCCCTCTTCTATGGAGCAGCCATGTTCATATACCTGCGGCCCAGGCGCTACCATGCCCCGAGCCATGACAAGGTGGTCTCCCTCTTCTACACAGTCCTTACTCCTATGCTCAACCCCCTCATTTATAGTCTGAGGAATCAGGAGGTGATGGGGTCCTTGAGGAAGGGGCTGGCCCGTTGTAGAATTGACAGCCAGCACTGAAGAACTTGGTGCTGCCACCTCCCGGCTCTCCCATGTTAGGTAAATATCTCAACTGAGTGAGTTTTCCCATTACTAATAATGACAATGACTTTTTAAACCCTAAAGCAGAATTTCTACAAGTCAAAAACCAGCTTTTTTCATCTTTTGTGAACTGATTCTTTCATGAAATATATTAAAATGAAATGTAGGACTTTGGAACTCAAGCGCTATGTAGAAGTAAGGTGCTGAGATTACTAACACTTATTTAAAGCTAGAATTACTTCTACTATAATAGAGTGCCTGTAGCTTAATTCCCCTTATTGCCAATCTCTACCTTTATTCAGAACCTATGATGTGTCAGTCACCATGCTTTGTCCTTATGTGTTCATATAGGCATATTTATTGTCTAACTTATTGGCTCATACAGTCCTCAGTAGATTGACCTCAAACTGGTGTCTTGGATAAAAAGCTACAGATGATAGAAAATAAGATTATAAAATTCTCTTTAACGAATACTCATTCTGCAACTATCTACTGAAAACTATAAGGCTCTATTAATGGAAATAAAAGTAATCTCAAAGAAATGGAAAATATCCCATTTTCATGGATTAGGTGAATTAACATCACTAAAATGACCAATTAACCTAAAACAATTTAAGGATTCATTATACTTACCAAAATCTGAATGACTTTTTTCAATTCAATGACTTTCTTATAATTGAACAATTGTAAAATTTTTGTGGAAATACAAGAGGTTAAAGCAATCCTCAGAAGAAGAAAACAGAAGTATCACATCTCCTGACTTCAAACAATACTACACAGCAGTAACAGTGAATACAGCAAAACAGTATGGTTTGATTTATGCACACAAGAGACAGAGTGGGGAGCAGAACAGACAGATTAACTGAAATACACTGCTGGGGTGGGCAGTGGGTGGGTCAGGAGAGGTCTGCTGGCCATGTGAGTCATCTCCCTGGCTGGGGATTGAACTTTTGCTGCAGTGGCTGCAGATAGCTTCATAGTGCTGAGGTTTTAACCCCTGTACCACCGGGAGGCGGGGGGGGGGCATGTGGCTTCTACTTCTTGATCTGAATTTTGTCCATGTACTACCAAACTCTCTTTTTTCCTTCTATATAAAGGATTTAGAAAAACTTCTTGAGCAAGGATCAATGGAAATCCCCTTTCATTGACCTTCCCAAATAAAATATGTGTAATTTATACTTGATAGTGAATAAATGGTTCAGAGGGCTCACTGTAAGACTGGAACAAAAACAGAAACACAAGACAAATGCAATCAAATAGAGAGCCCAGAGAAAAACCCACACAAATATGAAAGCTAGGAATGATGGCACAATGGAGAAAGGATAGCCCTTTTCACAAATGGAGCTGGGAAGCATGGGTAAGCACTTCCAGAAACTCGAAATTAGATCTATACTTAACTCCATACCCAAAAAATAGTTGAAAACGGATTAAGAATTGAATATAAAAAACAAAATCATAAAAAAAATCATAAAATATTTCAAGAAAACAGAGGGTATATGCTACAAGACATCTACCATAAAGTTGGGTACACACCTCTGTTGGCAGGGAAACAAAGCAAATGTGAACAAGTATCTGACATCAAACTAGGAGATTTTGTACCTCAAAAACGAAGAGGTAATCTGGCTTCCCTGGTGGCCAAGGGGTGAAATGTCAGCACTATCACACCTACAATCTGAGTTCAATCAAACCAGGGAGGTGACCCACTTGGCACAGCAGACCTCACCCACTGCTCCCCTCAGCAGTGTATTTCAGTCAATCTGACCATTCTGCTCCCCACTCTGTCTCTGGTGAATCGTCTCACAACCCACACCTTTGACCTACACCCCTGTCTTTGAATGCATAAATAAATCTTTAAAAACAACAACTATGAGATAACCTACAGAATGGGAGAAGATATTGACATATCATACATCCAATTTTTTTAAGAAATGAGTAAAAGACCTATTGGGTCCCAGCCGGGATAAACCTCCCCAACCACCCCCGGAGCTTAAGCACGGAAAAGCATCCTGTTTTGTCTGCCACCTGTGTGTGTTGTTCAACCTGTGAGCAGCTGGTCAATATCTGCCCTGATCGCAGTGAGGCATGTAAGGGAGACTTCCTCTGGCCCCCAGGCCAACACCCTGGTACTAAGGGTATAAAAGGGAGGCTGGAGAGAAAAATAGACATTTTGCTGCAACCATCCATGTGAGCTGCCTCTTCAACCTCGACGTCCCCCGCTCAGACTCGTATCCCTGCCGTGCGGGCGCGGCAAGTGGAGGTCCCACCGAGATCTGCGTAAGGGGGAACAACGGACGGGGTCGTCCTGGACCGGTAAGGACGTATTGGGGTAAACATGGGATCCACAAACAGTAAAGAGGAATTAATGTATTAAGTTTCAAAGCTTTTAGAGCAACAGGGAATTGCAGGTAAGCTCCTTAGAACAGTGGTTGCAGTGAGTCCGTGGTTCTTAACAGGAGGAGGCTTAAATTTCGGATTGGGGACAAGTAAAAAGGGATCTACAGATTACATGAGGGTCCCGATAGTTTTCCTGTATCCACCTTTTCTTTAATTCGCCAACACCAGGCATTGAGTTTTAAAGATATGAAACAATTAAAGGAGGCTGTATCAGCTTACCGAGCTCAGGCTCCCTTCACTGTTGCTATTGTTGAGTAGTTTGCTGCACTAAACCTTACCTGGAGTGACTGGCAACAATTGTGTCCAGCGGTGACTGGCAACAATTGTGTCGAGTGGTTTTGTGGGGGGGGGGGGATTGCTTGCTATGGAGAGGGGAATATCAGGAAAATTGCATTCAAACAGCAAGACTGAATGCTCAGGCAGGACAAGGCCAGCGCGGCTTAGACATGTTGACAGGCACTGGACCCTATGCTGAATTGGCTAATCAAATCGTTTGATCCTGCGGTCTATCTCCAAATAGCGGCAGTGGCTACTAAAGCATGGAAAGCCCTGCCTAATAAATAGCTGGTGAACAATTATCTAAGGTTTTGCAAGGGCCCTCTGAGCCTTTTCAGGATTATGTGGATCGGCTATTACAATTGGCTGGTAGACTGTTTGGGGGTGTGGCCACAGCTATGCCAATAGATAAACAATTGGCATTCAAAAATGCCAATAAGTATTGCCAAGAGGCTCTTAGACCCCACAGAGCCAAGAGTTTGAATGAATACCTCCGCTTGCATTCTTTCACCTTTCCTTTTCATGGTTTGGAGTATTTCCTCTAACGGCTCTGGGGAGGACGGTGGTATCTCAATTGTTCTTGCAGGATCTGCCAGTTGAGCAACTGCTGGGACGGTTCTGACGGCGCTCTCGTCGTCAGGATTCCTGCCATAGTACCCCTGCCAGTGCAAATAACCGAAGACAGACGGGAGCTCGTTCTGTATCGCCAGCGACGAGACTTTGGATTGACCGCTGCCATCGTGGCTGCCGTTGCTATGGCCACCGCGGCGGCCATGGCTGCTGGCCTAGCTATGACTCAAAGCGCTGTTGTGGCTGACACCGTGGAATTTATGGGGTCCTTGGAACTCCTTTCGCCAGTGTTAACAACACCCATGTCCCTTCCATTTCTGCCTCTGCTTGGTGGAAGGCTATGTGTCAATTTACGGGATGGGTCCAGAGGTGGGCGGGAACACTCTCCCTCGCACTGCTACTGCGTTTAGGACTTGTAGCCTGCATGTGGCTTCTTTGCCATCTCACACGACAGTCCCATAGGAGACATGCCACTACCCAGCAAGCTTTGCATGGGATGATCGATGGCGACTCATCAAATGTGGCTACAAATGTTAAAAGACTCCTGACTCTCCCTATGACGGGCAACACCGTATGCCCACCACACCTGCCTAAGACGGGGTTGGAGGTTACCCAAAGACGGGTAAAGGCTTTGGGTCAGCAGTGACCTAAGACAGGGGGGTCAGGGTATAAAATGAAAAGGGGGGAATTGTTGGGTCCCAGCCGGAATGAGCCTCCCCAACCACCCCCAGAGCTTAAGCACAAGATCATAACAGGAAGAAAAACATCCTGTTTTGCCTGCCACCTGTGTGTGTTGTTCAACCTGTGAGCGGCTGGTCAATATCTGCCCTGATCGCAGTGAGGCATGTGAGGGAGACTTCCTCTAGCCCCCAGGCCAACACCCTGGTACTAAGGGTATAAAAGGGAGGCTGAAGAGAAAAATAAAGAGACATTTTGCTGCAACCATCTACGTGAGCTGATTCTTCAGCCTCGACGTCCCCCGCTCAGACTTGTATCCCTGCCGTGCAGGTGAAGGTGTGGAAGAAAGGAACTCCCATCCACTGATGGTGGGAATGAAGGTTGCTGTAGCTTCTGTGGGAAATGGGATGGGGCTTTCTTAAGAAAATGGAAATGGATATTTTATATATCCAGCAATCCACCTGCTAGGCAATTAACCCCCCAACGTATGAAAACTTTAGTATAAACTGTAGCCCTGTGTCCATAGCAGCTGTCCACATTTGCCAAGTCATGAACCAATATAAATGCCCAGCAACAGATAATGTACAAAGAAATTGTGAGCTATATATGCAATGGAATACTACACAAATACTGAAAAAGATGAAAACGTGCCTTTTGGGACAAAATTGGGCCTTGAGATTGATTATGCTAAGTGAAATAAGTCAGAAAGTAGAAAAAAAGATAGTTGTAGTTTTATTTTTCTGTGGAATATAGGTAACAAATGAGCATACATTGACAAAAACAATACTTAAACTTAATGAAAAAAATTCACTGGGTATGAGAGGAAACAGGGTAGAAAGGAAGGCAGGAAGGAGGGGAGTTTGGGGTATCCACACAGGTATTGGTGAAGGTGCATGGAACTGTTGCACATATGCAGGAGAGAAAACATAACCCAAAAATAATAATAAATAAATATATGTGTGTCTTATAAAATACTCACCCTTCATACTGTGTAGCTGGGAACTTTATAAAGACTTCAGAGAGTAAGTGCAGTCACTAAGATTCACAGGGAAAGGGACACA